CCCCCCGCTTAGGTGGGCAGGAGTCCAACTCCTCTGCTAGCAGCCTGCTCCAGACAGGCCAGCTCACTGCTGTGAGTGGAAACCCACCAGGATGCAGAATGGATGGGGGTGGAGCTCTCAGGGTTCTGGAAACACTGCAGTAGTATCTCTGACCCATCCCCAGTTCAAATACCCCTTCTAAGGGAGACGACACTGGGTGGAGGGGTTGGACAGCCCAGCCCACACTGGGACCGTCTCCCTCGGACCCTGCCTATTCTGAGGCCTTTTGTCCCTGTTTGGGTCAGAGGGAGGTGAGATGCAGAGGATGCTGCCAGGGTCAGCGACATCCCATCAGGTGTCGGGGCTGCGGCTGGGGCACAGATACGTCTTCACCATCCAGCCGCTGTTCGGGAGCACGAGGGGCATGGAGTCGTCTGTCACTGACCGCACAGGTAGGGGGGGAACAGCCATGTCAGGCTCTTGGTTTGATGGGCAGTGGTGGGGACTGGGCCAAGGTTCCCTGTGAGATGCTCTGCTGCATAGTCGTGCAGCTGTTTTCTGAGTTCTGCTCAGAAGTTCAAAGGTCCCGTGCAGGCAGGGAGCTCAGCTGACCGGCGGAGGTGGGGTGGGGTGTCTCGCTGAGTAAGCAGGTAAACAGCTGCTCCATGCTTGAAATGGAACAGCTCCCAGAGCCGGTAAAGAAAGGAGATAAGGAGACGGTTAATGGCTGTGGGGGAGGGGAAGTAGGAGGAGGGAGGGAAGGAGGGGGTAAGTAAGCAATTCATTGGCTGATGAGGAGTCAGAGAGGAGGGGAGTTAGGAGAGTTCCATGTGCACAAGGAGAGAAAGGCAGAAACTCAGCACTCTCAAGCTGGGTGGGTGCTGGCATCTGTGCACTGAGGTGGAGGTGGAGGTGGAGGGGGGGACAGTTTGTTTGTGGTGTCTGACTCACTTGCTGCAGTCCTCTCTGTTTGGCTGGGGGTGGGTGGAACAGGCTGCAAGAGGCGTGTGGGTGCCAGGACATTTGCATGATTACATTTCAAACAAAATTTACAGAGGTGTTAATGGCTCAAGATAAGAAAGAAAAATATTGTTTTAACAAAATTTTTTGGGGGTGTTGCAGATATCGAAAACTCTGATCTTAATGATTTTTAAAAGTCCTGAGTTAGGGTATGTCTACACTACCACCCTAGTTCGAACTAGGGTGATAATGTAGTCAACCGGAGTTGCAAATGAAGCCTGGGATTTGAATTTCCCGGGCTTCATTTGCATCTTGCCGGGCGCTGCCATTTTTAAATGTCCGCTAGTTTGGACTCCGTGCCCCGCGGCTACAGACAGAGTTGCAAATGAAGCCTGGGATTTGAATTTCCCGGTCTTCTTTTCCTTCTTGCCGGGCGCTGCCATTTTTAAATGTCCGCTAGTTTGGACTCCGTGCCCCGCGGCTACAGACAGGTAGTTCCGACTAGGAGGAGTAACGGTAGTTTGGAATAGGAAGCCTAGTCCGAACTACCTAGTTCGTGCACCCTAGTTCGAACTAGGGTGGTAGTGTAGACATACCCTTACTGATTAATACATGGTGTATTGAATTACATTAAGGCCAGATCTTTGCTCTGTGGTAGAGTTCTGGCTCTTGAGTCAGAATCAGCAAGTACCAGCTTGAGCTGGTAGGTTGATACATGTACTTCAAGGGTAGTGTTAATTTTCTTTTTTATTTGATTTCATATGAAATATCATAAGCATTGATCCTTGTTAAATATTTGTTGTTTTAATATATTTTCTTCCACGCATATGGACTGCTTAAAATTATATGTGTGTGTGTGTATTGGTGATGCCTATCCACACATGTACCACCTTAATATTGGTGGTGCACATAAATTTCGACCCACCCAAAAGAAACTTCAGCCTTCCCAAGGCAACGCTGGACTGGGCCCATGGGGGGCCACCAAGTGGTTTGGGGCTCGGCCTGGTCCCTGCTGGGGCAGGCTCGCTGGCAGCTCAGCCTGGGTCTGTTGAGTGGCTGCAGAGGCGATGCCTATCCACACATGTACCACCTTAATATTGGTGGTGCACATAAATTTCGACCCACCCAAAAGAAACTTCAGCCTTCCCAAGGCAACGCTGGACTGGGCCCATGGGGGGCCACCAAGTGGTTTGGGGCTCGGCCTGGTCCCTGCTGGGGCAGGCTCGCTGGCAGCTCAGCCTGGGTCTGTTGAGTGGCTGCAGAGGCTTCTCCAGC